GCTGAAGACGTCTAAATTTACCTTTTCTTCATCCCGGCTGATTCCTCTAACGTCATCTGGAAACTGCAGCATTTATTTTTACTCTACCTTACCTAAAGGCAAAACGGGTTTTAATGAGGGTAGCGTAATAAATAAATAATCCTCTCTTCGTCTAAGGGCACAAGGTTAAAGTGTTGTTTTGCCACTGTCGTTTTCCACCGGTATACGGTTAACGAATCGGAGACAGTGGAGACTTTATAAATAATGCCTTTATTCATAATGTTTCAAATGGCATCTAAAATACAGAGTAATATAATATGGATAAATAAGTTGACTACATGCGTTTAGGTTTAGAATGCAACTGCATATGTGATTTGGTCTGATGATCATAGGGATTATATACTCAGGAATAGTATGGTGGATGAATCAATTCTGGACGGTCTAGGAAGCGTGTGAATGAAGTTATAACTATTAAGAATTGATATCCTTATCTTTTAGAATTGATATGAAGTCTGTGAGAAAGTGCTCTTTTGCTGAAAAGGGTTATTGTTCCCTAAGTCTTGATAAGTGTCTTCTGTCCAGTCAGTACATTCTAGATAACTATTTCTAAGCTATCAGAGATAGCTTGACCTGGCTATCTAGGGCTTTGATAAAGGTCGTGAGAAAGATCAATGAATGATTAAATGTTTAAATTAAATAAAAGTTAATATTATAGTTGTTACGGATTAAGTCCATTTCATAACTTACGAATTATCCGAAATACGGGAAGTTCTCTTTTTTGACGAGGAAGAGGAAATCATCACCTGTCATGAAGTACAATCCCATATCATGACGTGCAGTCTCATGAGCCTGTAGCAAGACATCAATAGAATATGCGTATGGGCAAACTTTAGTAAGGTCATATTGAATGAGGAGAAGACAAAAGCCCTCCTGATCCGATACCCCTCACTCCTCAAATCCATTTCTGTACCTCCCAATTTTCCCCTGAACTACTCAACCTATCTCCTTCATTATTACCGTTAAAAATCTTGGCGTTACCCTCGATTAAATTCTCTGCTGGAAACCACAGATCTCCCGAATTTCCCGCCGTACTATTTCCACCCTGAAACAGTTTATCCATCTACGCTATCTCCTTCCATTCACAATCCGTCAACTCCTGGTTTCATACCTTGTTTTCCCCCACTTTGCCTATGGCTGTATGGTGTATGTTGGACTTTCGGGAGAACTCGAAGCCAAACTCAAACGTCTAATGAATTGCTCAATATATCTTCGTAATTTCTCAAGGGATACGCATATTATCCTTTATAACACCGAGTTGGGGTGGCTTTATCCGTCCTACTTGGCTTTAACCACCAGTACTTCCTTGCTACCTTCCTATACTAGGTTGTTAGGACTCGGCTCCTATATTCTACAGATCCTACAATTCAAATCCTCCATTAAATCCCGTCTTCCTATTCCCGTACGTCCACCCTCTATCCCCCTCCTCACCGAAGTGCTGCACTTTGACAAATCCGTTTTAAATCAAGCCGCATCCGTATGGAATTCTATCCTTTCTGATATTAGGCACGCAAAGTCAGTGTCCTTTTTCAAATCTCTCCTCTTCAAGCAACTATTCCATTCCCAATCCAGCTGATCATGAAATGCACTTAAAAATCTAAGTGGTATGACTCTCAAAGTACCCCGAGATACTTTAATTATCTTGTGATGTATTGATATTTTGTTTATTTATTTTACTTATATCAGTTTATTTTATATTTATGTATGTTTTATATCTTTAAATTATCTGTACTTTTAATTTATTACCACTCATCTTGTAGATATTTAATTTTATTTTATGGAAACATCAAGACTCTTTATGTCAAAATTTATATTCTGTATTTATATTTTGCTCTAAAGGGACACTAGTCCCAGAATAATAAAATGAATTTCATTTATTTATTGCATTGTTCAACGTTTCGACCTATATCTAGGTCAACCAACCCTAAACCATTCTTTTTAAAAAAAGTTATTTGAGTTTTTGTTGTATTTTTTTAAATTTTTATTATTCTTAAATGTAACATTTTTCTTAACCTCAAAATTAAATTTAAAAAAAAAATTATTTCTCAATCACTGAATGTATAATGTTAGTCTCAGAAGAATCCATGGGTATGAAAAAATATATTCAGTCAATGTACTTTGAATCGTATTCTATTTTTTCGAGAAACAGTTCATGTCTTAAATAAATACAATTTATCATTTCAAACCACTAAGTGGTTATTACCTTTCAATTCCAATTATTTGTTATTATTTTTAAATGTATTGCATTATCGTAAAAATTAATCATCTCCATTTGTTTAAATTGAAGCTGTACGAAAAAAATTAGCTTTATCTTAACTTTCTGGAAATGATAGATGTGTCCTTTTGATTTGAAGCTGCTCTATATGCACTAAAATATATTTTTTTGAAAATACATTATAATAGCTCTGAATTATATGCCCGCCCATTTTAACCTTCGTGCCTTATACAATGAGACCAGTTTCTGTAAGCAGCTCCTGTCTTTCTTCTTCAAGAGTTAATACTCTGCTCCCAGATCGTTCTGGTTATCGTGAGGAGGATTTTATCTCAAATCGATGAATAGTTTTTTTCAAGAGTAGGGGAGGTTATAGATCAATGTCCATGTTTCACAGACATATATTAGAACAGGCTTTATTCTAGCATTGTAAACCTTTGATTTGAGGCTTCTTAAGATTTTTCGGGATTCAAACACCTTTGAATGAGAGAAGAAAGTTCTGTTTGCGCTTGTTATAGGCTGGTCTACTCCTAACCGTTGGCCATTCATTGGGGTTATTGTGTAGCCGAGGTTTTTGAATTTTTCTACCCTCGGAAACGATTTACATTCCGTGCTGATAATGCTATTGGGGTTGAAATTACGGCTTTTATTATGTATTTTGTTTGTCTTCATTTACTTGTTGACCGATTTTCTCTGCTTCTCTTATCAGAGTTTTAGTGAACTTCTAAACATCTTGTTTGTTGCTTCCTAAGACAAAATATCAGATATATCATCTGCATATCTAAGAATTTAATGATTCCTTCCGAGGTAGGCTCGTGTGATGTTCTCTTCACACTCATCTTCGCTCATCTTCTCCAGCGTTAAGCTAAACACATCGGTAATGGTCCATAAATTTATAAATGTAATGGTTTTACTTCTGCCCTTTTCATTGAGGTGTAATTTTTGTCTTATAGTCACATGATTTGTTCTGTATTCATTTACTTTTAGGCTGATTTGCTCTGATCCTCTTATCAGAGTGTTGGCGAGTTTCTCAATGCCTTCTTGATTGTTTCCAAAAACAGCTATATTAACTATATATATGCTTATACATATATGCCTGTGCGTGTGCGTGAGTGTGTAAATTTTTAATTATACTTGTATATTAATAAATAAAACTCAACTCTAGAAATTTTTTTTTGACCCTTTTCGCATTCATCTTCTCTGTAACGTTCACGTTCAACTCCAGAATACTAAATAAGTATCATAGACAAAGGTTCAGTGGAGTAAAATAAATATATTTACAAATAAACACTTAAAAACGTCCCCCCGTTTCCCACTACTATGCTGAGTTAGCATGGCTCTTCCCATCCTTCAGAAGACAATACTTCCTAGGCACATTCCTTTACCAAATAATCTATAATCATCGCTCGTCCTATGTATACAATCTCCTCCAATTTAAATCATCTATACACTTCATCTCCTCCAGATCTCGTACTTCTGACATGAACACCCCTTTCCACAGATCTGCATCATTTCAACACTCCTTTATTGTCCTAACCACCACTTTTTGGAATTCCGCCCGCTTACAACTCCACCATCCTTATCCACATTCAAAACCTGAGCTGAAGATAAAAAAAAAAAAATAAAAAGAGGAGAAATTGTTTTTATTATTTATATATTTGTTTTTCCATTTACAAGATTCTATGTATTTGGGATGAATTTTATTTATCAAATTTTTAACCTTATTTTTATGAATTGGAAAGATTGGAAATATCGTGTCATTTTTGACATAGAATTGTGATTGAAAAAATAAGATATTATATTTATTTTTCACTCACAAGTTATTATATATTTAAGATGTATTTTTGCATTCCTCAACATATATATATATATATATATATATATATATATATATATATATATATATATATATATATATATATATATATATATATATATATATATATATATATATGTTGAGGAATATATATATATATATATATATATATATATATATATTCCATCTCAATTTACGTTTTTGTATATAGTCTACAATAATATTTAATGGTTTACATCACCATTGTTGATTGTTTACATCACCATTGTTAGGATCCCTTCAAAGCTCTTGAGTGACAGACATAAATAAACTATTTTCTTCATTTCCTTTTTTTTTTTTTTTTTGTTCCTACAATGATTTTCTCATCAAACTAATTTAATGTTCGTTTCTTATTGTATATATTTGCTTTTTTTTCGGAGGCAGCGATATTGAAACATTGTGATCCTACTGCTCACCTGCTTCCATTAATATATCTTTAAGCTATATATATACCTGTTTTATTACTTATGTTTCAGTTATTCTTTTATGCACTGGATCTTTTGGCCAGATGTAGTGTTAATTTGTTGATGCAAAATGTTGTTAATCTTAAGGGACATTGTCCAGAATAAATTTGATATTTCTATTTCTATTTGTAAACAAAATTATAGCAATAGCGAAAATTTATGAGTTTTTAATATTTAATGTTTTGGTTGTCCTAAATACTTCAAGAAAAAGAATTACAAAAAAAGGAAATAAACAATAATAACTATAAAACTCTCGTATTCTCGTATTCTTAATTGGAACATGAGAATATGTAGATTTATAGTTTTAGAATATGTCGAATTTTTAATAAAGATAATTGAAAAAAGAAAAATGTTTGTGTTACTTATTATTTATACTAGATTATAATTGTAATAATAAAATGTTAAATATATTTCATATTTTAATTATTTATAGGACTTCCGCTTAATCCAGCGTTCCAGTTGGACTTTAAATCGCGTTTAAGCGATGAAATGTCCATTTTGGAGCGGATCTACAACGTTTATGTCACGGCGGCCAGCCTCGCTTTTAGCTATTACCACATGTACCCGATGCAGGGGATCATGGACAAGTACTTCAACTACACTGGTTGGGAAACAAGACCACCGCTGCAGAAGTTGCTGATCAACAGGAGTTTGATCTTGGTCAACTCAGATCCAGTCCTCAGCTACCCATATCCAACTGCACCTCATGTCAAGAATATAGCCGGCTTAAATTTGATGCCGAATAAACCACTGCCAAATGTATGTATGTTGTTTCAAAAAAACTTTATCATAATATTAAAAAAGTCCATTCAGCATTGTGTCAAGTGAATATTTTCCTTTCATTTTAATAGTTGAATGATTTCATTCCCATCAAATTTTTTTTCTCCAGGATCTTGAGGAATATATGAATGGATCAGAGAAAGGTGTCATTTATGTCTCTCTTGGTTCCAATTTGAACACTTCCGAAATAATGAGGAGTAAAATCGGTCACTCATTCTTAAAAATCTTTGAGAACAGGCCGCAGAGGGTCATCATAAAATGGGAGAAAGAAGTCGAACACAGTGAGATGCTCCAAAACGTCAGGACGGGCAATTGGTTCCCACAGAGAGATATTCTTGGTATTTGTTATTAATTAGATATAATGATTTATTCTACTATCCATAAAATCGTTTTTAGAGATATGTAGGTAAATCTTGCAAACAAATTTATGATTAATTTGAAAGCTCTTTTTTAATTTTCAAATGATATAGTATAATATATATATATATATATATATATATATATATATATATATATATATATATATATATATATATATATATATATATATATGTGTGTGTATGACTCTTCAGTTCAATATGATCCTTGTCATCATTTCTAATTTGTTGTGATAACTAGCCTTTAATATTTTGTGTGATTCATAGGACTGGGACTTAGTGCATATATGGGAATAGAAACAATCGTTCCAGGACACCGATTTGTTTCAAAAGAAATTTGATATTTATGATAAATCAAGAAATTCATTTTAGCTTTCCGTCAATTAAATGAATTATTGTCATGAGACGGTGATATTTACTTCATAACATACTCAATGGTAAATGAATTGGATCATTGCATTAACTTTTTATAAAATTGTGAGAAATTAATATTTTTCAAATTTGTCACGTTTTGATTGTATACACTCGCAATGGACTAAATTCTCTTTAAATAAACCCTCTCAAATATGAACAAAGAAGAGAATTATCCTCATTTTAGTCCAATTACAGCTTGTATTCTCACCACTTTATTGCTCATAAAACTATTTTTTCCTAGTAGTTTTAGTGGTTTTTATTAACATTTTTTAAAAGTTATTAAAGAAAGTCTGCGCGTCGTTTCATAGAAGTAGAACTTACAGTTATAGCAATATGGAAACAAGGCTACAATCCTCACAAAGTCGCCAAAATAGTGGTTCCTTAAATACACACTTGGAGGAGGACGTCAATGGCCTACAACAGTAAATCATCCGGGCTGGAAGAAATCGCTTCAACACTTACTGAAGTCTGGCTGGTGATTTGTTTTCTGCCCCTAATGTGCAAATTAGCCTTCACACAACTAGAAGAAGCCTGATAGAACGTGGTTTGCACCCTCGAATGCACTTATGCGCTATTCAGGACTCACCTAACGACATAATGTTCTAAGTTCGGTCCGATTTACATATCTCGTTTTGTTCGTGCCTGGAATAATTACGTTTAATAGCGACAAAAAGTTCTATTTGCCTATGCAAATATTAACAAATAACATAGTAACTTTATTACGATTTAAAAAGCTGGTTTTTAAGACAGATTTATAGTATTGTTGTTTTACCGGAGAGTGTCCTGGTAAGCTCAAATACTTGTTCGCTTCTCTGTGGCGTGAAGGTCAGAGTTGTTTTATTTCCTTAACCTGGAGGCATGGACAGCTGGAAATGTAAAAAAAAAAACATTTCTGACAAACTGTCGATAACAAACATATTAAAGGTAAAAACTAAGATAAAGTACTCATTAATAACTGTAAAAGTTTTTTTAATACAATGCATATGTTAATCAATACAGCTAGTACTACCAAAAACCAAGTGAACGCAATTATTTAACGGAGGCATCAGACTCATAGTCCTGTGGGCTTCTATTTAAGACATTGTTAGAAAAGTTCTTCAGCAGCTCTATAGTACTCAAATATTCTGTGGTCATTTCTGGTGCAGTGCTCAGTTAAGTTAGGTATCGGTATCTGCGTTGTCTCCCAAGGATGATGGCCGAATCTGTTTGAGTGGAATATAGAAAAGCTACTAAAGCGACACACGTCAAACATATTCCAATGCAACATTTCTCCTTGAATGCTAAGAGAGCTCTATGGCAGAAAAGTGGTTTGTGTAGAAAACGCGATGCAAATGAAAGGATTAAATTTTAGTTCCAAGAAAACCGATCGGATTCTGTATACTTCAAGGAGTAGAAGGTCCCATTTCTGAAAACTTTAGAAGGATGTTCAAAATATGATAAAATTGGAACTGTTCCGCTGACCAATGTATTAAGTATCTTGTACAATGTTAATATACCCGTAGTACATACTGAAAAAATATGCCTATTGTTATTTTTCTTACATTTTATAAATAAATTAATTACTTTTTTTTTATTTAGAATAAATAAATTTTGCCTCAATTAAGGGCATTGAGTATTTAGGATGAATGAAATACAAACATACCCTATATACAATAAAAGAAAAACTAGATTATAACAAAATAAAATAAAACTTGGAGTAACAGAATAAATCGATCATGATGCAACATTAAATAAATAAATAAAAACACATTCATACTTATTTACAATATTTACAGTCAGCCGAGGGAGCTCCGATTCGGGCCTTTTCTCCCACGTGTGGAGGGTAAGGCAAGACTCCAAGAGATCCCAGCGCTTCTCTCTCAGCCGCATCACTAGGATGGGAATCCAGTGGAGACTAAGAGAGGGCACTAAAGCCACATACGCTCATGACTTGAGTGGAGAAGCTGGCCATCACCAGGACTCCAATGACGTCTTTACAAAAGATCTCGAGGCCACTGCCGCTTCAACCTTCGAGGAGGATTGTAGGGATGACTGGAACTGGATAAGGATTGTGCTAAGGGATTAGGATGACGGATTAAGTTCTGATGAAAATTTGAAAATCGGGATGGAATAACGTTAAGGACATAAAGGATGTTAAGGTCATGATGTGAGGTTTTGTTCGTAACATAATAAGGAGCATTGACTATTAAACGGAGTACTTTAGACTGGAAGGATTGGATGCGTTTGATGTTCGAAAATTTAGTTGTCCCCTACAATTCAAGCACGTAGGTCCAGGGTTTCAGTATGGTCTTGTATATTAATAGTTTGTTTTCAATTGAGAGGTTAGATTTTCTGTTAAGTAGTCTGTAGAACTGGCCAAGTCGTCGGTTAAGCTCTTGTCTTTTAAGTTTGGTATGTGGGCTCCATGTCTTTTGTCTAAAAGGAATCCAAGATACCGAACTGTGTCTGAGATGGGAAGAGGTACTGAGTTGAAAGGATATGTGGACAGGATCTGCGTCGGTGGGTAAAGGTGACATGCTTGCATTTGGATTCATTGATCTTGATGCGCCAATTGTTGCACCATTTCTCAATTAGGGAGATGTGTCTTTGAAGGTTTATTGATGCTGTTTCAGGGTCTGGGTGGGAAGATAGGATGGCGGTATAGTTTCAGGGTCTGGGCGGTATAGTCAGCAAATGTTGCTAGAAGGGTATTAGGATGGATTGGAATGTCAGCTGTGAAAAGGATGTAGAGAACTGGGCCCAAGACACTGCCTTGTGGAACACCAGCCTCAACTGGATAATAGTTGGAAAATTCAGTGCCGCAGCTGACTTGAAAGGAACGATTTGAGAGGTAGGATTTGAGGACTAGGTACAAGGATTGGGGTAAGTGAGTTTTGAGCTTGAAAAGCAAGCTATCGTGCCACACCCGGTCAAAAGCTTGCGCTACGTCCAGATATTGCTTGCTTTCAAGCGCAGAGGATATATGGTCAATAACGCGGAGGCCTTGTTGAACAGTGGAATGTCTTGAGCGGAATCTAAACTGATGGGAGGGGCTATTGTGGGTTTCAAGAATGGGTAGGATACGTTTGAGAAAGATTTTTGAGAGGATCGGAAGTAAGCTTATTGGTCTATAGGATGAGGTATTATTAACAGGTTTACCTGGTTTAGAAAAGAGGATAATAATGGAGTGTTTCCATATCAGAGGAAAGTGAGTTGTGCGGAGGGTACAGTTATACAGCTATGTGAGGAATATCATTGCTTTTTTGGAAAGTTATCTAAGGATCTGAGAAGTAAGGAGATCATGTCCAGGGGATTTTCGAGGTTTCAAGTTGGATAAATTCATTACTAATATTCATAATTGGTAATTGGTTGACTGTCGTGGATAATGAAGAGATGAATAGTTGGGGTGCTCAGTCAAAAAAGGAAGGCAAAAATAAATTATAATATTTATTTTTTACATCTGCCAACGTTTCGACCTGAAGTTCAGGCCATCATCAGGGCTAAGAAAATAACCAGATAACAAGGTATGAGAAACTTAAGTAATGATGGTAAAAAAGATAATAACAAAAAAAAAATGAGAAAATAAAATAGATTAGATCTAGATAAAATAGATCTAGATAAAAGAAAAATAAAATAGATAGATATAAAGTAAAATAAAATTGTTAGAATAATGACTAAGAACTAAGAGATAAATAATACAGACTGTTACATAGCGTGGAATGATGAAGTAGGCATAATCAAAAAGGGGGTGACAATAGTGTTACATTGGGAATCTTAGAATAAAATGTAAAAACATAAAAAAGAAATATAAAGTTATATAAGAAATGAGAATAAAATAAATAGTAAAAAGAAAACATTGAGAATGGAGTAGTTTGATAGTAAATTGAGATATTGTAAAGTCTATCAAGATGTACAGACAATGTATAATATAATAGAGAGTTAACAACAGAGAAAAGGAATGAAAGGAAGGAGGGAAGAAATTGAGAAAGCTGAAATAAGAAAGAAATAAAAGAAGTAGTACCTTTCTCCTAAAATGTCAAAGTGAGAATGAAGTCGTTACAAAGAAGGTGGAGAGAGAAGGAATGTGGAGGTGGCGTCATCTGTAACGGTTATCGGACGAAGCTAGAACTAGAAGAATGCTAGTAGAAGCCTAAATAGTTACGAGAGATATATTATGTAGAAAAATTATGGAATATTGAACGAAAGTTAATAGAAAGTGAAAGTGAATATATATATATATATATATATATATATATATATATATATATATATATATATATGTATATATATATATAAGGGAGTTGTCAGCAAAAAGGAAAGGAATATAACTATGGATGTTTTAATAAATTCAGAATTTGGCTATAGGTTAGAGAAAAGTTGTTTTTGTCAGCTTTAAGATTCACTGTCTTTGGTTGAAGCTGGATGTGGAGGGTTTCAGAAATGAGTCGTTTGTCATGGTTGAGAACAGTGGCAAGGATGGATGTTTTGTCGAAGTCAAATGAATGATTGAGGGAGAGAGAATTATCCGAACATTCTCTCTCCCTCAATCATTCATTTGACTTCGACAAAACATCCATCCTTGCCACTGTTCTCAACCATGACAAACGACTCATTTCTGAAACCCTCCACATCCAGCCTCAACCAAAGACAGTGAATCTTAAAGCTGACAAAAACAACTTTTCTCTAACCTATAGCCAAATTCTGAATTTATTAAAACATCCATAGTTATATTCCTTTCCTTTTTGCTGACAACTCCCTTATATATATATATATATATATATATATATATATATATACATATATATATATATATATATATATATTCACTTTCACTTTCTATTAACTTTCGTTCAATATTCCATAATTTTTCTACATAATATATCTCTCGTAACTATTTAGGCTTCTACTAGCATTCTTCTAGTTCTAGCTTCGTCCGATAACCGTTACAGATGACGCCACCTCCACATCCCTTCTCTCTCCACCTTCTTTGTAACGACTTCATTCTCACTTTGACATTTTAGGAGAAAGGTACTACTTCTTTTATTTCTTTCTTATTTCAGCTTTCTCAATTTCTTCCCTCCTTCCTTTCATTCCTTTTCTCTGTTGTTAACTCTCTATTATATTATACATTGTCTGTACATCTTGATAGACTTTACAATATCTCAATTTACTATCAAACTACTCCATTCTCAATGTTTTCTTTTTACTATTTATTTTATTCTCATTTCTTATATAACTTTATATTTCTTTTTTATGTTTTTACATTTTATTCTAAGATTCCCAATGTAACACTATTGTCACCCCCTTTTTGATTATGCCTACTTCATCATTCCACGCTATGTAACAGTCTGTATTATTTATCTCTTAGTTCTTAGTCATTATTCTAACAATTTTATTTTACTTTATATCTATCTATTTTATTTTTCTTTTATCTAGATCTATTTTATCTAGATCTAATCTATTTTATTTTCTCATTTTTTTTTTGTTATTATCTTTTTTACCATCATTACTTAAGTTTCTCATACCTTGTTATCTGGTTATTTTCTTAGCCCTGATGATGGCCTGAACTTCAGGTCGAAACGTTGGCAGATGTAAAAAATAAATATTATAATTTATTTTTGCCTTCCTTTTTTGACTGAGCACCCCAACTATTCATCTCTTCATTACTAATATTATATTTTTGAATACATAATGTAACTTATCTCAATTCACTCACATACAATAAGTTAATATTTATTTTATTTTACTTTTATACTTTAGCCCATAAAAACTGCATCCTTTTTGTGACTCACGGAGGATTCCTGAGTCTCACCGAATCTTTATTCTACGGTGTTCCTGTCATCGGTCTCCCTTTTTTCGGCGATCAGCCCAAAAACATGATTCAGGTCCACAAAGCTGGCTATGGTTTGATGATTAAGGATGACAATATTTCCGTCCATTCTCTTACATGGGCACTTAAGGAAATTCTCAGCAATCCTAGGTATTTATCTAGCACTGAGTAATTTCTTTCTACTATTCCTTCCTTCTGAAGGAGCATAATTAAAATTAGTTATTTAATTAACATACATACTTTATTATGTATAATGTAACATTTTCTGTTGATTTCAGAGACTAAATTTATTTAAATTTCTTTATTTTAGGTATCGAAATGAAGCCCAAAGAAGGTCTCAAATGCTAAGAAACCGTCAGCACACCCCTTTAGCCGAAGCAGTATACTGGGTCGAACATGCTATTAAATACCCAAACTTTCTAACACCTAAGAGTGCGTTTATGTCTTTTTGGGAAAAGAGGATCTTCGATGTTGGGACATTTATCATCGTTATTGTATCTATAATTAGCTTATTCACTACAACCATGTACATTTCTTGCAAAACTAATGTAAGGAATAAGGAACAGAAAGCAAAGCTCGAATAGATATGTACTATTTAATATTGAGATTTAATTAAAATAACATTAATATCTAATATATTTTTTCATAATTAAACTGCAAAAAAAAAACAAAAAAAAACGAGCTCTTGTTGGCAATTTTCATTTTCCTTATCATTAGTGACAGTGATGAAAGATATCATTCATAAAATATTTCAATAAATAAAAACAAATTAAATGCAAAAACAACAAAAAAAAAAGTAACATTAAAAAATATATAGATAAATATAATCTTATATAGTTAACTTATTCAAAATAAATGGAATACCGGTATAATTGTATTTAAAGTATTTACTTATAATGAGGGAAACTTTGAGACAATTCTTTCTCTCCACCCGTGGAGGAAACAGCAGAACACTAGGTGATTCCAGTTCTGCTGTCTCAGCCGTTTCACTGGTATTAAAGGCATATGGGGCCTGAGAACTGTTGTCCGAATGCAAGACCAAGCCTCATTTAAGCACTCATTCTTGATCTTGGTCTTGGTCTTGCGTAACAGTCTAGCAAGTCTTGCAGTTCTCTATTAGCTCGTTGCTACATATTAGTTAATTATTAAAACACTTTATTCAGAAATATTACAATTTGTCACAGTTTAAGGACACTTATAATAGAGTTCAGAGATTGCATTCATACCGTATATACAAAAATATAAATAAATAAAGTAATAACAAAAGAATAAGAAAAAATAATGCTACATATTAAACATGTTACTTTCGATCTTAGAAAAACGCTACATAATAGGTAAATTTAGATGTTTTATTGAAATAAAAGTAGTAAAATACTACCAAATTAACTTGACAATATATTAAAGGAATTTCCAAGAAATATATTAATAGGTCCCTAAGTTGAAATCAAAAAATCGTAAAGGCAATCTATGCAATGCCAATTATTATTTAAATAAAAAATCTGTTGTGGCTCTCTGCCCATATGAATTTTCTACCAATTTTAAACATTTTTATTTCTATTTTAAATATGTCCATTAAAAAAGTCACAATTGAATTAGACTAATTTTCCTGATAACTGATCAGAGAAATCATTGGAGTAGGATCCTTTTGATGAAGCTAAACTTGTAAATGAGCAAGTGAACAATTGTTTAAATAAGTATAATTAAATACACTGTAACATTGCTAAAACGTCCGATTTGGACGATTATTTTAATTTTTTTTTTATAGTTTTGTCAGAAATTTAATAACCTTTTAAAAAATATTACCAATACACATTATAGATATATTACTGTAGTAAAACTGTGTTGTCTTAAATTTGTTTGACCTGTGTTGACCTTGTTCTTGTAACGATTATGCGGACTTGATCTTAGTCTTGCAAAGCGCAACACTAGGACTGAGGTAGTGCGTTCTAACTAAGGACGAACACCGCTTGAGCGGAGAATCTAGCCATTCTAATATATAATTATTTACAAAAAGTCTAGGGCGACTGCCATTTCATCCATTAAATCATTATTTCCGTTTCTCTTATAAACAGGCTGATTAACAAAATGGCTGTGTTTGACGTGCCTATTAGTAAGCGACTAAGCATTTTTGAAAATTAAGGACTTAATCAATACGCAGAATAAGAACTGCTGGGTAATACCTTCAGCATGTCTGAAATTCCATAGTTAAAGTTTTTCACCACATTTGTTAATTGTCACTGTTATCAACGACAGGTGTGAATAGAGAAAAAAAAAAGCTTAGATTTTAAATTTTCAAATTAAGTTTTGATTCTGAAATACTATTTTAATCTACATAATTGAGAAGGCCAGTATCAGAAAAGGAAAGCCTGATGCGCCTGTTGATTTTCAATGAAGTGATTAGAAATTCTAATGAATTCACTATTTACTAAGTCCAATAAAAGTCAAGTGACGTAGAATTGCACACAGATGAAACACATAACTTCCAATAGAGTGCTGTTATCCGCCAATAGACTAAATTCAGTCAGTTCAATTGATTAAATAAATTCAGTCATTGATTGTGATTAGGGATTCTAAAATTCCCGAATTCATTACATAGAAAATCACATTATTAGCATATGCAATAATGGACTATCAATATCCATAAATCCCCCAATAAGTGAAGAAAAACTAGGGACGGAACTAGGAAGCGAAGAAGAGACTATTATTCAGTGTGTTTTGGTGTTGTTTCCCTCCCCCCCCTTCTTTCACTCCTTTTAGGCTATACGGGGTTCTCCCGGGTCAGGGAGAGAGGGCGGGGTATTAATGCCATAGTTAAAAGCCCTTTCGCGAAAATGGATGGGTAATCGTCAAAAATTTGAAAATAAAAAAAATCACTCAGATGGATATGGAGACAATCAAATGATGATTGATGATTGATATTTGGAAACAAATTGATTCGCAACTGTTGACTAACCTACCTTGGCGTAAGATTTGGAAGAAAGTTTAATATAACGCATCTCTTGGACTAGTTGGAAAACAGAGGGGTCACTATACACTAGCAGATCCAGGATTTAATTTGGGGGGAGGGAGGGAGGCTTCAGCCCGAAAGCTTTTTTTATATAAAAATAACGATAATTATTTTGGAAAAAAGAAAGAAACTAACTAACTATATGAAATGGTGTTTAAGTGATTCCTAAAGCCCTTTTAAATGTAATTACACGAGAGAGAAATACTTTATTAAAAGATATTTTATTAATATAAAATTATATTATATTAAGATATTATATTATATTAATACTTTAAAAGATATTTTTTTTCGATAAAACATGGTTATATTTTATCATTTTGGGGGGAGGGCTTCAGCCCCCCCCCTTAGATCCGCCAGTGTCACCCTATGAATATGTGTTGGTGGAACTTTCTGGGGCGATATCTTCCTGAGGACCAACGAGTGAGGTTTGAGGAAAGGCCCAATAGGTGGAAATCAATATTGAGAAAAGCTACCGTCGAAGAGTGGAACTGGCGGTGGATCACTACCACTAAAGGGGCTACCCTAAGGAAGTATTTTCTCACCAGATCAAACCAGACTATTGGGTCTCTCAATCCCTCACTTGACATAGGGGGTTTCATGCCAAGTTACACAGTCTTGGACAAGACATCGGTCCCCTATGCTCCAGTTGTGGGTGCTGAATTGCTGAGCATGTGATCACCAACTGCACTGCGTTTGAAGCACTGAGGATCAAGATAACAAGGAGCTTAAATATCTACGGTATCAACGAAGGAGATTTGAATCTTCTCGTCACTGCAGATAACTACGAGGCATTCGTGTATGGGTGGAAATATCTAATAGGCGCAGCCCATTTCAATATGGGAGTTAGAAGGAGAATTACACAGTCTCAATCTGGGGTTTTGACCAAGATAAAAATATAGCAAGAAAAGAGAAATATAACAAGTTGAGCAAAAACATAATCCCTTATTGTCTAAAAGACAAGGAAGGGAGAGGGAAATGCAAAAATACAAATAAAAAAAAACTGTTGACTAAAAAGTATATTAAAATAATATAATTTACTTTTTAACGATTTTATTGAGTAATATAAAGTTCTGTCACAATATGGACAGTAATTATATTGAGAAAAGTTACAGGATATTTAGAGGATATATAAATAAATATAATCACATAGAAGCAATTTTACACCTAATTCATAATCAAAAAGTATATCCAATAAAATAAATAATAATACTATAGTACTAGCGCAACATTTTCCCTGTCTTGTTTCAATTGCTTTGGTTGTATATGGAAGGAGATTTCTCATCCAACGCCTTTTTAGTATCCTCTTCATAATCAGGGGTATGTCAGTCGTGGCTGTTTCTCTCATTAATCTGTTGTTATGCCCTTTTAAATTAGTATAACAGCGTTGCTAAAGGGGCTAGTCAACTTTTTGAAGGTGGAGGTCACTATGTACAGTTCTGTTAGTCACGTACAAAGGTGTTTTTGTTTTGAGTCGCAATGATTTGATTGGAAGGTTTGAAGTTTTAGAAGATACTTTTTTTTTAGCGATACCGTTTACCTATAAGGAGTATATTTAATATTGGTGGTATATTGGTACTTGTGAGTAGTATATTAGTTCAAGTGAATACTTTATTACTTGAATTAAGTTTATAGCTCTATTTTATACTTTTTATCAAACAAATTCTATAATATAGAAGAATAATCTAAGTCTAAAATTATTAAATAATATAAATTTAAAATAAAATATAAGAAATTTCAACTTCTTGTATTGACATTGAATTGACATGAATTGAATGTTGAAAGGAAACTGAAAATGTAAACAAAGATGGATTAAAATTCACGGTGTAAGTAAATATATGAATGAATACTTCCTTAATTTATGTGATGATTGGCGAGCTTAGTAAATAATCTTTGAAAACATTGTTATTTAAAATTCACCAGAAATTAGAGTTAGAGAAAAGATATCTTCTGCGAAGATATCTAACGTAAATTTAGTTATGACAAAAATTGGTAATGATATCCTAATTTGCAATATATTTCAGCAAACCCAACACAATACCTCATTATACCAAATCTTTCACGAAAATTTCGTTTATCGTGTTAAATTAAACAGATATTGTGTATTATTATGGTATAGAGCACCTTGAAAATTTTATTAACTTTTTACTAAATTTTTTTTTCAGCATTTCTCATCATATTTCGCTCTAAGAATAAGTCAATTGGTGAAAATACCACTTATATTTTTTGCCGCATTTCCCACACAATGCGTTTTGTTATATGTACTTTCAAACTCACACACACACACACACACACACACAAAATAATATGCATAATTTCAGGCAGTCAGGTGTAACTGCATATTGCAAATTTATGTATATATAATCATGTTATTATGGGATTTCCTTGAAATTAAAAAGCAATTAGCTAAGGAAAAAAAAGAAAGTAGGATTAAAAATAAATTAAATCATCGAATCAAAGGAGATAGGTAGTATATAATTAAGCGATATATTTTTTTCAATAATTCTCAGAGAAGATTGCAAAATTTTACCATAACCTGATAGTCCAGTTTACGAATGATAAGAGGGTGCTTGTAGAGTG